AGAGCTGTGTAAAAATACGTGAAGGAACAACAACCAGCACAGGTTCCTTACCTTGGACTGCTCTACATTGTTTTTAACACAAGGTAACATTTCCAGTGGTGTTAACTACAAGGTAGCACTAAATATAGACAAAGACTATTGTGTTTAATGCTGACACCATTACTTCTCAATCATTTGCCTATCATGGCAGGATAAAACAGTTATGAGAAATCTTTTAACAGCAAGATCTCTGGATTGCTTTGTTTTGAAGTGGAAGAAGGTGTAGGGCAGGGGAAGATCTGTATGGTTTATTTTAAGTTATGGACACTGAATATTTTTCCAAACAAAATATATAAAAGCAAAGGTTTAGCAAAGTTGGCTAGTAAAGATTAAACTATTAAAAGGAAAAAAAAAAAAAAAACACACTGAAAGATAAGCCCAGGGTCACATTCTACATAATAAGATTAAAAAGTTTTTGTTTACTGTGCTACTCTAAAACTAGATGATGTCCGCATTGAGTAGCAATTATAAAGGTCATGGTGCAATATCAGACATTTAACCCTCACTGATGTGTGACCATCACATGCATAATGGGGAAAAAAGCTAATTCTTGCCAGCTTCTACCTGATTAAGCACAACTAAGCAAATCTAAATAAAACATTTTTGTCAGGGGGTACAAAAAAGGAGTACAATTAAGCTAAGGAGCCTTAAGCACCCAGGCATTGCTTTGCGGTTAGGTTTAATATGCTGGAAAGTCTGTTTTAAAGGAGTTCCATTACTACCCTAAGCATAAAGCAAGCTCACAAAGGTATGGTAATTATTTGGAGAACCACTTTAGGTCTTCTCTTATATTCCTACCAATTATAACTTGTTTCCAAAGTCAAGTTTTAAAGATAAAAAAAATACAGGCCAGATGTGTTAATTAGATTAATAAGATTAATTTTACATACTATCTGCAATACTGACATAATTGGTCTGTTCCTGCCATGAGGATTTGGCTTTAAGGCATCAATTTTCTGTTATTAAAATAAAAGGAACAACAATGATGCCTGGATGCCACTCAAATACAGAGGATGAACAACTGTAGAAAGTGTAAGAAAAAAGCTAAGGCATAACTTTAAAAGGATATTTTAAAAGAAGAAATATCCATAAAGGAAGAAAAACTAGCCAATCCACACAGTTACACCACGTCCATATATTTCTAATCAAAGAAGTTAAAATCACATTAGTGTTATTCTTTCAGTGCAAGGAAAAAAGAAAATAACCTCAAAGAACAGAGTGGGGGCAGGAAATAATAATAATAATGCATGGAAACACAAGAGCTATTTAGCAGGCTAAGGAAAATTTTATACATATATTTGAATACTTTACACTTAGCTAGGTGTCCAAAGAAATCAAAGGCTTTACAAACATTCAAATTCACCAGAAAGACATTTTTTTTTAAAAAACCTCAGAATGATGCTGAAGACTCAGAATTTGGACAAGAAACAGAAAGTCTATTCGAGCCACAGAAGATACACAAGTCCCTATCTTGTAAAAGGTAATTTCAACTGAACACCATGCAAATCTGCTGGACTAGGCTTTACATTATATCACTGCTGATCATCAAGTTTAGTCAAGAAAAAAGGGGCTGTCTTGTGGGAGGGAAGGGAAGAGAGGGAACACACACACACACACACACACACACACACACACACACACACACACACACA